ACATTGGTATCAATTTGATTAACTGTTTTGAAAGTAGTTTCTGCTGGCTGTTCTGCTATAACTAGATTTTTAGCTAATTGGATATCTGTTATTTGAAGCCTTTGTGCCTGTTGATCTATAACGTGATCAAATCATATGCCAATAATAAAACCGCATCGCTGCGTGTTGTAGCGAAATATAGTTGCCAGACAAACTCAGAAAAAAATTTTCTAAACAGCTTTTCAAAATTTCTGCTGCAGTCTTCATATTTTTCAAGATGTAGTGTGCGTGAAATTCCTTATTTAGTCGAAATGGAAAGTGATAAGGGAGCGTTCTCCCCTTGTTCATAGGAATATAACTGAATCATCAAAAGCAAAAGACAAATACTTTTCGAAGGAAATCTTTATTTGGCAGCACTATACAGCATCATTACCTTAAGAATAATCAATTCAAAGATGACTTCACCACCGCCGTAGTCTTTATTGTTGGTGACGGGTACTGACAGTTGCACTTATCAATCCAGAAACAATCGATGCTGAGTTCGAATACTGCGGAAATGGTAGCGTGCTTGGCCGTCATTGGTTCCACTATTTTTGTGGCCATGGCTAAATCATCTACTATCAAAGTAATCAATGCATTCACGCTGGAATGCCTGTTGGAATTTAACATTTCGCATATCGTCAGCAAGGCGCTGTCCAGTAAGTTAAGTTTCTTCTGCCTTCCCCCTTTGCTGCTTCCGCTGCCATACCCTTTGTCTCTGTTCTCTCTTCCGGGTTATCTTACAATTACCTTTAAGATATTAGCAGTCTAAGTCGATTAAAAGCTGCTTCGGGTCTGTTTTATCTTGGTTTGTGAAGGCCTATACGTGAAGCACGGAATACTTATGGTTTCATCATCCTTAGCCGATACGTTACAATTATCATACAAAAAAGTTTTATAATCAAATTTTTCTGCAATTCACAGGCCGGGAAGAAATTATCCGGAAGCACAAAATGGGCTGCTTGAGAATAACATCACTACTATGTTGTAAAAAACGCCTGTGGATTGGAACTTCAGCTGGTATCATCATCAATACGGCCATTTCAAATACAAGAACATTGAACTGGACACCATCCTTTAATGGTTTGCTATGGGATAATGAAAATGATTTAGTAAATGATATAGCTTGGCAGTGCTGCTTTTTGCTACGATTAATTACACTTACCAAGTGGCGCTCTGCACTAGGAAGTAATAGTAGATCAAGATTCGACTCTGCCGGTTTGACAAGCATTCTCTTCACGATTCGTAGTTTTTTCGATAATAAATTGGTACTTGCATATGCCAAGTCAAACCTACCATCAGTTAGATCTAAGCAGCCTTCGAAGGAGGGACATCGTTTGCCGTGCCAGTGCTCTTGGCATTTACTATCACTTGTGCTGTTTTCCGAGAGCTTCCGCCTCTCGCAGTGAGCGAATACGACTTTAACTTCTGACTCTGAGTACTCATACTCACTGCAGTAGTTTGCTAAAGCTGTGTTTTATCATGATTTTGGACTCTTCCCTAGAATCAATAATGGTGTTGTCATCAAGAGTTCTTAAAAGAACTAACATAAAACGACTTTTAATTTCGTACTGTCAGACCATTTTCGTAAACCTGAATTCAAGGCATTTTTTTAAAAAAAAAACAAACTATGGTAATGAAATTCTGAATTTTTGGAAAAGCAGCAAATTTGTTGGGTCCAAATGAATGTAAAATATAATGGGCCGCCAGCGTATGTTCTCCACTGTCTTCGTCTCGTTGGAGCCTGAAAAATCCTTTGTCCGAATGTTTAAATTAAAATAATATTGTCAGTAATAATCGTAAGGAAAATGTTTGCAATTTTAGTAATTGCGGCGATACTGACAACGATAATGGTAATAACAATAGTGGCAATAATAATAGTAGCCATTATCACAGGTGCTAACATTATTTTAATTACATCCAATAATTCACTCTTTCAGTGGTTATTTCAGTTTGTCAGGCGGGACACATTGGATCTTGTCGCTTTTTAACAGCTGTTTCGGCGTCAGCAGCACCATCATTTGATCTGCGCCGTCGACGTATGTCACTTAGTGCCCCAACTTTGCAGCAACTGGAACAAGTTAGTTCCTCCCTCACACCCATTTCAATACTATCGACCACGTCTAATAAAACTTCACTTTTTCAAAGATCTTATTGTCTTTTCCTCTTGCTCATTTTCGTCGAAGCTTTTTCATATAATTCTCATTTCCGTGTGGTAGTCGAATCCACATGTCGTCTTTCCAGATGGTATTGGTAATTCTAGCTTAGTTCCAAAAAGCTTTCCATTTTTATGCGTTTTGTG